GTCTCAGCCAACGAAATGCACGCTCGAGTTCCCACAAAAGCCAGTCTCATGCAGACCCGCAACCGCTGCTACAAAGTCGCAAAACAACCCGCACCAATCCAATGACTCTGCGAGTAGTCCATCCACCCCGTCGGCGCGCGGTCTCGGCTCCTGTATCGCGACGATCCTTCCTGCTCGCCCCTTGGCAACAGTCTTCACAACCTCGCAGCACAAAATGGCTTGCCTGATTGGCAGCTGCCCACTCCCGCGTTCCACCTCGTCACGGAGCGCTGCCCGCGGCAAGCTCGCGCACTGCTGTCTTTTCTGCCCACAGTCCACCGTGGCCCCATTGCCACTGGCACAGCTCCCACCACCATCAGCGGCCACGGGCTTCAGTCGGCCTTGCTGCGACCACATCACCACTGCCATGCTAATTTCCCCGACGGCTTGGCTCATGCGCGCCAAATGGTGGCGACAGTGTCGCGTGAGATGCGTCCAACATTCACATAGCTACCTACTAAGATCTGCTCCCCATGGGCAGGCACGCACCAGCACCCAGCCCCCCGCTTCCTTGCGGTTAGTGTGTTGTTTTAATTAGCGGCGAATAAAGGCGGGGGGTGCGGGTTGCGGGTGACCGTCCGTTAGTGCAACCGGCATCCGGCTCGCGTGAGGGAAGGGGAACCACGGGAATGTGAGCATACGAGACGCGAGACCATCGCGTGATTCTAGGATCCTCTGCTTTGCTGGTTGCAACTGTTGGGACTGGCGGGTAACCAGTTGCTTTTTTTTTTTTCTTGTCGTTCCTTTCCCTCGGGAAGGTCCCCTTGGGTCGCTGCGCTCTACGCTCCAAGGTTACCTGGCTATTCGCCCTCGCTCGCTCCATCGCTGCTAAACTTGATGGCCTGCTCGTGTTTTCAACGCCACTGTTGACAGCTGCATCCGCTCCCAAGAAACCATCACTCACCGACTTCATCACCAAGACCTCGAACAAGCCCGGGGGCGTCCCGACACGGTACGTACAATCCTCTACAGTGGGGGACGCGAGTCTTCCCCGGCCCGCGGTGAACGGGGCGGAGCGGAGCCCCGGGAACGGCTCACTTCCGCGGGAGGACCTGATGACGCACGGGGCTCAGCAAATGTACACAGTTTGCACATCAACGAAAGACAATCACGGTACTTTCCGAGGCGCAACTGCGCATACGCGTCTCTTCTACCGCCCAGATTCGACAATCACGTTTCTTGCGAATCTCCACAGGTTGGTGCCAGGATGGATATGCTGGGCTATGCTGAGGAGGCAATCAACATGTCACCAGCTCTACCGTACTCGACTTAGCTGGCGAGCTTATGGTTGGCAAGAGGCACTAGATGCCTTACTCGCGTGTGACGGTTCATAGGGGTTCGTGCCAGACGTTGCTGATTTGATAGGATGCCTGACGCACTCAAACTATGTCCATTGCTTAGGGCGCACGCTGGGACATCATTGGGCATCCGCCTACTTCCTTCTCATGGAGATCTACGTTACCCGTGCCTCAGCATCCCGGTCACCCTTTCCAAACTGCCCGTCAATCGCTGTGCTCAAGAGCTTATTCCTCAAATTTTTTGCCCGAGCGGTACGAGTCGCGAACGCCACTGCTTTCGCTTACGTTGCAGAAAAAGGGCACACGGCTGATGCGCAAACGCCCCCATAGAGGAGCCACGACGCCGCGGCCCGAAGGAAAAAAGATATCGAAAGGAAAACAAATTGCCGAATGAGGCAGTGCGCAAGGCCAAGGCCGCACACACGCACACGCACACACACACGCACACACGCAAACGCGTCCGTACGTGCGTACACATGTCAGGAACAGCCAGGTAGCCGTTCGCGGATTCCGCCGGCCGAAGTCTATGGTCTGGGCTCCCAAGCCAACGACGACAACAACAACAACAACACCACCGCAGATACGGATGCGAGTATCCACCATGCATGCGCGAGTGGGGTGTTCCTGTGGCAGCGGTGAACGGTCAAGGATAGGGCTGCGCTAACGGCATCCCCGGCCACGAATAGAGAGGGTGCAGTCGGTGAGAGGGCGGCGACGACGGGTGTCGTCCGGCGGGAGCTAAGGGCACAGCCGCTGGGCGGGCGGGCAGCACGCACGAACCTCGTCCCAAGATTTTTTTTTTCTCCATCTCATCTGTCGTTTCAGAATTTCTACTCGTCTCGTCTCTCTTTTTTCCCCCCCTTCGCTGATGATCTCTCACACGTCATTTCTTCATAGATCGGCTTCCGAACAAACCGAGCGCAGCGACCCTGATGAACCCGCGCACGTTCGTCGGAGGGGAAATTAAAAAAACTTTGAGTGCCCCATGTGGGTGCAATGACGGATGCCGAGACCAGAGAGGCTGTGCGCAATGGGCACTTGAGCTTGGCGCTCTTCGGTTTCTTGGTCCCTCCGCTGCTGCAGCGTGCATTATCGCAACGCCGCATTTCAGTCAGGGAGGGCGTGTGGAGAGCTGGGACGATGTGGCGCTTGATCCGGGCGAACCCCCCCGACGACGGCTGAACGGCAAAAGATTCATATATTACCCCGCTTAAGACAGTAGTGCTATCCCCATCTCTTCAAGTGATCTACGAGCCTCCTCCTGTGGTGACTGGTGCTGCTTCATCATGATGATGATGTGTGCATGTCGTTACCTGAGGCTCCAGAGCTAGGTTTCAAAGGCTCATCCATCTCCATAGTAAACCCACAGCGGTTGCTATACAAGGCAAGTCGGCTTGGAAGCAACACTAAATGGGGTTAAGCTTTGCAGAGACAGTGCTTTCTCAAGGGTTCGAAGGTTCGAAGCCTACAGTTGGGGCGTGCGCGGTCCTACATATCTGCTAGTCTTATAAGTCGATGTAGATATGACGGTTGAGGCCCACATCATGTAGATTTCTCTCCAGTTTTGGAAGGCTTAGCATGAGGCACCCTTGCCACAACTCATCCATCCCCGCTTCGAACATGCATAAGAACTTTGCATCATCAACAATCTTTGGTTTAGTTTTTGTAAGGTTGCATTGATTGACTCTCCCGATCAGCAACATCGAGTCTACGACCGAGCATTGCCCAATATCAAGTCCATCAAGCATCCCTACTTTTTCTCTATCTGTAAGGCGAGGTTTAGTTGATTTGCTTCGTCGTCTTCAACATCGTCTGCGTCTCTATCGTATGTCTCACACAGCATCCCGCCCACCCTGGTGCAGCCGGCGCTCGCGATAATGTACCTGTGGCTGATTCAGCTGCCCTGCCCCGGTTTAAAAGAAGATACCAGTCCGTGACATGGGGCGCGCCATTTTGCTCCCTATCTCTCACATCAATAGTTATTGACTCTTTGAAATCACTCATCATCGATTTCCACGCTTTCCTCTATAGACTAAAATTCTTGAGAAAACAGTAAATCGCTTTTGATGCCGACATTTTCTCGAGGTATGTTTCTAATGCAGCAGGCGGAGAACCTTGATCAGGTCACCGGAGACACCCATAGCAGTGACATCACCGCCAGCGCCGGCACCCTGGATGATCAGAGGCTTGTCACCGTAGCGCTTGGTGTAGAAGTTGATGATGTTGTCGCTGCCCTTGAGAGCGGCGATGGGGTGCGAGAGGTCAAACCTACGTTTTTCGTTAACAGCCGTCCCATGATCGTGACGAGAGAGCGGCAAGGAGTACTCACTTCTCAAGGCCGACCTTGACACTCTTGGAAGCAACGTCGATGCTGCCGACAAACCTGACGACCTTGCCCTCCTTGGTCGCCTCCTCCTTCAGCTTGTCCATCTCGCCATCGAAGGCGGGAAGCTTCTCCAAGAACTCGTCGCCGCTGGAGCAGCTCTCGAGCTCCTTGGGGATCAGGCTCTGGACGGGGAAGCTGGTGGGGCTCTCGACGGGCAAGCCGGCCAGACGGGCGAGGATGGTGAGCTTGCGGGCAACGTCGAGGCCGTTGAGGTCGTCGCGCGGGTCGGGTTCGGTGTAGCCGAGCTCCTTGGCCTTGCGCACCTCGGCGGAGAACTGGCCGCCCCCGGCGCCGCCGGCGGGCTGGAAGCTGTTGAAGAGGAAGGACATGGTGCCCGAGAAGACGCCCTCGATCTTGGTCACCTCGTCGCCCGTCTCGACCAGCTCCTTGAGCGTGCTGATGACGGGCAGGCCCGCGCCCACGCTGCTCTCGTGGAAGACGAAGCCGCCCGAGCCCGTGCCGTTGCCGGCGGCGCCGTAGATGGCCCGCCACAGATCGTGCGTCGAGGAGAAGGCCTTCTTGTTGGGCGTGACGATGCTGATGCCCTTCTTCAGGAAGAGCGGGTACGCGTCCGCGAGGTCCTGGTTCGAGGTGTTGTCGACGAGGACGACCTTGCTGGGAGCGGCGCCCAGGTAGTCGGCGAGCTTGGCCGGGGCAAGCGCGGGGGTGTTGGAGGCGGCGAGATCATTTTCCCAGGTGGACAGGTTGAGGGAACGGTATTCGGGGCTGTGGAGAACCTTGCTGCTGCGCGAGAGAAGGATGACGGAAAGGTAGGTCGGCGAGGTGGATGACTGGGAGAAGCGCGAGGCGATGGCGTGCAGCTGGTTCAAGAAGCACTTTCCGACTCCGCCGACGCCTGGGGAGAACGTGTCAGCCCGGATGGACGGAATTGAGAGCCTTGGTGGGGCGGGAGGCGCGCATACCGATGACGGCGATGAAGACCTGGCGGGGAGGAGACATGGCGGCAGCAATTGGGGGGTTTGGGGGATGTAATTGGAAGTAAGGGTGCGCGAGAGGTTGCTGCGGCAGGATCTCAGGAGGTCCTGGGTGAATGGCGTCAAGTGGAGCGGTTGTTGCGGTGACACAGCGCACGGCGGGGAGCTGGTTTAGAAATTGACCCCCGAGCCCCGCCGTCACCCGCCCCGCCGCGCTAATCGTCCCGATCTTCGGAGCTCCATTCCGCTCCGCTGCCAACCCTCAGCCCTGTGCATCATCATCCATCCACATACCGTGCAACGCCGCCCCCGCACCCAGCCCTCCCCGCCATTCACGCCGCCATGTCCTCCAACAAAGATGCCGCGCTCTATGGCATCCCGCGTCCCAAAAAAGCCGCCGACAAGCAGGCCACCTCATCTAGCAACCTCGCCTTCGCCTCGCAGCTCTCGTCGCTCATCTCCGCCGGTTCCTCGTCGTCACAGCCCAAGTCCGCCGGTCGCGCGCGGCCCAAGAACAAGGACGATATATTCAGCGTGCACAACAAGAATTCCCGCAAACGCGCGCTCAAAGACCTCGACGATACCGACTTCACCCAGCGCCATAGCACCTCCAGCGAAGCTCTCGATGACGCGACGTTCAAGCGGTCGAAACGGAAAATGGAGGAGAAGGCGCGTCTATACGCGGCTATGAAGCGCGGCGACGTCGAGGATGCGGACGAGCGCTACGCCGTGGACTTTGACCGCAAGTGGGCTGAAAAGCAAGACGCTGAAGAAGCGGATACGTCGTCGGATGAGGATGCAGGCAGCGAGCCCGAGGAGCTCGTGGAATATGTCGATGAGTTTGGCAGGACGCGGCAGGGCACAAGGGCGGATGCTGCGAGGGAAGAACGGCGCAAGAAGTCGATGTTTGACGAGCCGGACCGCTTCACCGCAAGGCCAGCGATGCCGACAAACGTAATTTACGGCGATACAATCCAGACTGCTGCCTTCAACCCGGATGAGACAGTAGCGCAAAAGATGGCAGAGATTGCAGCTAAGAGAGAGGATACTCCACCCAAGGATACCCACTTCGACGGTAGAGCAGAGATTAGGAACAAGGGAACCGGCTTCTTCCACTTCTCGCAAGATGAGGAGGAACGTAAGAAGCAGATGGAGGAACTTGAGAAAGAACGGCTGGAGACTGAGTTCAGGCGAGCAGAGAGGGAGAAGAAGAAGGAAGACAGAAAGAAGGAGGTTGAGGAACGGAGAAAGGCGCTCAAGGAAAGGCGATCGAAAGCACAGGCGGACAAGTTTCTCGATGGTCTTATGGGTGAACTGGGAGAAAAGGCTGATGAAGATACGGCTGTCCCGGAAGACGGGGGAAATGAGGAGACCAACGCTGGATGAATGGGCCACGTAGGGTGCAGTGAAGTCACGATAATGAACTTTGGCCACGTCCCATGGAAGCACGACGCAACAAGTCGATGGGACCTGGATCATCGAGTGGTTGGTTCGCTCGCTCAGATTGCCCCTGAGTTTACGCATAGATCCCACATCTGGTGAAGGGGCGGTAGGGTGGGAATTCAGAGAAGCAACTACCGCACAAGTCCGTGGTAATTCTAAAGTAGAGGAAGAGAGTCGAGGTATTCTCTACGAACAGGATTGAGTGACAACTGAAATTTATCATTACAGTTTCTCCATAGCCGAGGCCGGTCATGATTCCAGTTCAGGACCAATTGCTAATAGCTCGCTCACAACTCACGCTCAATCAACGGACTGAAGCACATGGTAGCAAAACTTAAAACATCCCTCAGATAATATATGTACGATATTGTCTCAAACGAGACGATACATCAGATTATGGAAATACTCCCATCCTCTTCTCTCCTTCTTTCAAACAGCTGCAGCCCATCGCCTCGCTCCTTTCCAATGGACCTTTCCCTTCCCCACGAGCGACGTCTACTGACTGCACTCCGGATCCGGACACTCTCCATCGTCCTCGTTATCCGAAAATCCGACAACCTGAGGATTCATGTTGTAAATGCAATCCGGGCACCCCGTCGACACGCACCTGCCACCGGCCGCCACCCTCACAGCATTGCCATCCCCATCCACCACCTCCAACCGCTGGAACCCAGCCTTCAGCCCCTCGGCCTTGCCGTAGTTCAGCCCGGCCACCAGGCCCACGCTCGCGATCTGCTCGCCGTCGCTGATCAAGTTCGCGCTCCAGCCGTCGGCGTCGTCGCCGACGATGACGGCCCAGCTCAGCACGTCCTCGCCCTTGTCCCAGCCGTCGGGCTTGGCGTACACGCCGCCCTCGCCCTCGCGCGGGCACGTCGTCGACTGCAGGATCGTCTTGTACCACAGCGCGCCGGTGACGGTCTCGTTGCCGAACGGCCGCAGCGCCGCGGCGGACGAGGCGTTGGCGCGGAAGGCGGCGGCGAAGGAGCCGATCAACGGCTGCCAGCCGGTGTGGGGCGCGAGCGCGGCGGTGGCGTAGCGGGCGGGGTCGCTGTCGGTGTTTTGCTCCGGCCAGAGGTTGCCGATGTAGTGGGATTCCGGGCCGTCGTTCTGGAGAGGGGAGGGGGAAGTAAGTGTCTTGTTGTTTTGAAAGGGGGAGGGGGGATGGGGTTGTTGCTTACCCAAGTAATGACTTCGGCGTATTCGGGGGCGGTGCTCATCTCGAGGACGTTCTTCATGCGCTCCGGAAGGTTGAGCTCGCCGGGACGGTAGAGATTGGTTTGGTACTTGACACCAGTCAGCCGCGCAACCTCTCTCGGTCTCGGACCAAACACCCCCAAACTTACCGCATTCTTGTACTGCAGAGGACTCAACGCTGTTCAACGGACCAAAAGAAAACAAAAAGTCAGCCACAATCCCTTTTTCAACCATTCCAACCACCCACCCAGAAGAGGGGAAAAGCAACACACAAAACCAAAAAAAAAAAAAACCAAAAAAAACCGGGGGCACACATACCAACCATATAACTCTTCCCCCGCGCCTCCGCCGCCGCCGCAACCACCTCGTCCGGCCCCGTGTCGCCGGGGAACGCGCCGCCCACCCCCGCGCGCTCCGGCCACGCCGCCTCCCAGCTGAAGAGGCCGTCGACGACGCCGCCCCAGTACGCCCACCAGCCGTCGGCGCCGTCGTAGTAGCCCTGCGTGCCGTCGAAGTCGGGCACGAAGTAGACGCCGCCGCCGGCGCCCGCCGCGAAGGCGCTGGCGCTACCGCGCCACTCGTCCCACGTCTCGTTGGTCAGCCCGCCGTCCGAGTAGGTGCTGACGAACGGGTAGGCGTCCGGCGCCGGCCCCCGCGCGTAGGCCGCGTGCGCCGTGTATTGCGTGAGGAGGGCGTTGTAGTCGCTGAGGCTGGCGCCGGCGCCCGTGGCGGCGGCGAGGTCGAGGCTGTGGGGGTGGGCGTGTCAGTTGGAGAGGGTTGGGATCGTCGAGCGGAGCGGGGGCGGGGCTTACGAGAAGAGCAGGTGGAAGTCGGGGTGGTTGGAGGCTGTGTAGTCGAACATGTAGGAGATGGTGTCGGTCACGTAGGATGCTCGTGGGTCGCCGATGTTGAGCGCGAAACCGTCGAGGCCGGCGGCTGCGGCGTCGTCGATGTCCGTGTGGACATGAGGCTCGGTGGTGGTGCCCACCTGAGAAGGGAAGGATGGTCAGTCTCGTGCACGTGTTCTCGATAGGGTTGGAAGAGCTCGCGCGACTCTGAAGAGGGAAAATGAAAGACTGAAGAGGTGTGATATGGCGGTTGGAGTGCCACCGCTTACGATGGATGCGCAGGGTGAGATTGGCAGGTGAGACATAGATCTGAGCCAGCGTGTAGGAATGGGAATGCAATGAACTGACGGGGACATACCATGTAGTGGGCAAAGACGGCTTTGGCAATAGCAGCATCGGAGAAGTACAAGACCGAATTAGCCACAGCCATCAAGGCCGAAGTGACTTGAAAAGAGTACATGGTTCCAGACGAGGGAGGGCGCAAGCCGTGCAACTGTTGATACGACAACCAGAGGCACTGCTGGGTACAGGGAAACAATGTTGCAAACGACCGGAGTTAATATATGAGTTGCACAGAGGAACATGATGCTGAAAGGCCCACAGCCAGCTGACAGGGCCGCTGGCGACCCTGGGCAATAGCCGCTTGCACCGGCACTTGCAAATGACGCAAGTTAGAAATGAAAGAGGGGCGATACTTCCAAAGCAACCAGTCAAAGGTCGACCTCTATTCCTTCCCCTCTCCGCCGAGGAGTCACGCCCAGGAACCCCGTGCTACCAAAAGCAACTACCATTTCACTTTCTTCTCATTCGTGGCCGAAGAGCAAAGTGGCAGGCAGTGCAGCATGTCAGCGCGGGCAGTCATCCCGTAGGCGCCGCCGACGCCAGGTGTCATATGCATGAGAGCAAAGAGTAGAGTTGGGGAGCATCACAGCGTGTGATGCTCCGGGACGTTGGCTCTTCCAGATACTCCCCTCTGTGAGAGGAAATTGTCCAAGGCAGCTCTACCAGTAGGGATGATGAGAAGGCGTGTGCAGGACGCAAGCAGCTGACGTTGCAGCACACGTGCTTCGGCGCCTACATGATTGCTCCAACTCCCGGCGCTACTGATAGCTCGGCACTGGAGGGCCTGGAGGGGATGCAAGGGCAGGGAACAAGGGAACAGGAGGGAATGGATCAAAAGGCCGGCGCCACAGTAGTGCAAGGCAGGAACATGTGCGCTGTCAGTCTCAAGCCGGCGTCAGTGGCTCTCGGTGTAGTACCATGATCCCTTCTCTCGCTCCTCTGCGGCAGGAGACTCGCGATCGTAATTGGACAGGGCATGTCTTGTGCCGTGTGGGAAAGAAAGTCGCGAGGCGGGACAAGTAAACCGACCTGCCGTCGAGTGTGCTTAATAGTGAGAAACCAGGCCTTTCGGAGAAAAAGGTGGTCTTGGAGCAGGGGGCCATGGAATCATCTGCATCCAGACCTTCTGAAACGTGGAATCAGCCGGGGAAGCACGCGCCAAGGCCGAGTGTCGGTCTTGGAGTCCGTGACCGCGAACTCTGTCCACTTGGATGCCATTTGGCCAATGTCGCGCTGTCTAGTTAACATGGGTGGGAGAGGTGACCAACTGCTCGCTATAGGCTAGGGAGAGGTACTCTGCCCGGCGCCCACGCGACATGTCGTTCTCGCCGGTGAAGAGATTTGTTATCCACGCAGACCACGTCCAGAGACTGGAGTTCTGGGCCGAGTCTCCGGCAACATGGGGAGCCATCAGCAAAGATGCAGTGTCCCTCTCTCGAGAAGTGGAGGCGGGTGGGGCAACAGAACAGAGTGTATGCACGCGGGTGCAGACGAGCGGCTGGGCACAGAGTAGTGCTGACATCAGCTGAAGGGTTCTTGTGCTTGGAAACGGAAGCCCGGACGGGTGGCCGAATGAGAAGATGGACGGGGGTGACGTGAAAGTGACTTGGTAGCAACTACGTCTCCATCCACTGCCGCGCGGCGGCTGGTAAGGACTGGCTACGTTTCCGACTCCCAGTCTGGATTCTGGCGTGCTATTGTATGTAGCTGAGCATCCGCAGCCTCCTTAGCCACCATGTTGTATCTGGTTATATTGGAAATGAGCTACTTTCCATGTACCAGCCACGACACGGCCAGACAGACGCCCCAGACCGGCTCGGACCGAACCGTGTCCATGACCATGATTGGCCAGAGCAAAGACGGCATGATGGCGGCAGAGTGGGATGTTAGGTAAAACAGTAGTGTTGAGTGGGTGGCAGCTGACGCTTGCACGCTCAGGCACGTATTTTGCCGGAATTGGTGCGTCTGTCCTATAAGCATTGCAGATCCAGCGTGAGACGAAGGGCGCGCGGCAGCCCACCAAGGATGCTTATACTACGCTGTGCAGGGATCGAGAGCATGGCCCCCGGCGCGTGGTCCCAGGCTACCTACCACCCCGATGTGCTACGCAACAGCGACAGTGATCCACCGAGGACTGGCCACGCCGACTCGTGTCTCACACGCGCCGTCGCCATGTCCCTGCCATGCTGCCATGCTTCTTACCCCGCAATATGCGAGGAGGATTCGTCACGCTTACTCGCGCCAGCGCCCATGGCCTCGTTCCTGCGGCATCACGCTCCACAGTGCCACCAAAAACGCCGCCTGCTGACGGCTTACTGAGCCTCCTCAGAACCTTAACCCTGAGCCTATTTCTCCTGTCAGCCTTGCAGGGCAACCCCGCTGTCCGGAATAGGAAGGTCGTAAACAGTCGCATGTGATGGCAGCACTGCTGCACGCTGCAAGCACAGCGACCGCGACTTGCTGCGTTGCACTGTTCTTACGTGAGCGGCCACGGCCCGCAAAGATGCGAGCGGAGATGAAGTCCCAACGTGGATGACACATGCTCACACGAGAGTGTAAAGAGTCATGACGGCCCTGCTGCAATTGCACCCGCTTGGCTGACCATCGTTAGGCGAAATCCTTCGGCACGACCCCGAAACTCCGAAACAAGTCGGCCGTCGCTTCCAAATTGGCTCGAGCCTTGGCCAGGTTTCACGCTACTGCAGGGTGGCGCCTTCTAGCTCCTTCGAGCGCCGGTAAAGAGCAGAAGAAGAAAAAGGACCCTTGCACCTCAAGAGACAGCCGGACCGCGGCACAGACGTTCCGTCGCGCCGCTTGGCTGGCCAGCTCGACTACTTTTACATGTCAGCATTGGCACATCTGCTGCCCGAGGACCCGCGAATGACGCTCGGCATCTTCTAGCTTCCCGCCGTCATCCTTCTCCCTTCCACCGGACTGCGCACCTTCTCCCAATGGAGCCCGACGGACAGGCGAGGTGTTGCCGCTTCGACTTCTCCGGAGACGACTGAATCCTCTCGCACTTTGGCCTTGAGTGGGCGTGATGAATGCCGTTCAACAGGAACAGCTCCTTCCGGAGTCCAAACCCCACCTTCTTCCTGACAGCAGATGGCACAACCAGCCTTTCCCCAGCTCCCGCTCCCTTAGGTATATACGCACAGGTACCCTTCCAGCTCTCTCGTCTCGCCATGCCATCCGCAATCTCGGCTGACAGGGCGAGCGGGCAAAGCCGCAACTTCGAGACCATGTGCCGGCGAGGACCGGTGGGAACCACCAGAGACAAGATGACCGTCGTGGTGATGGGGAAAGGTAAAGAACATTCCAGCAACGCTCATGTTTGCAGAAAGTAGTGCAAGGCATGAGACGGGAATACTGCCCACGCCCATCGACGAGAGCTCCGGAGCACCCCACAGCCACGCCCTCATATCTGCAGGCCACACAACAGGATCCAGCTCCACCGATCCACGTGCCTGTACTATATTTGGGGTCTATCGTTTAGCTTCCAAGCACTCGGGTTATCTGAACGCAAAGCCTCGCAAGGAAAAAAAGGGGGCGGGGGGAGGTAAAGAAGTTGTTGATGAAACCCACAGTGGTGACGTTTTTGGTCTCCTCACGGACGCCAGGGACACGTGGAGCAAAGGAAATACGGCGTCCCGTATCAGATCACTGGACGGTGGGGTCACCGGTCGCCATGTCCCATGCCCCAGTCACCGCCTCGTCCGAGGAAGGGTGGGTGGGGAGGTTGTGGTGGTCTGGTCGCAGCGGGAGCGTCGCGGGCGGGACGATCCACACTAGGCCCGATCGGAAAAAAAAATTGAAGGGTCCCCCCCGTTCGTGACGTCGTGCCATCGCTCCCAAGCCGTACGCTCGTAATTTTCGGGGGACACCCTGACCTTATGACGATTGTATGTACCAAGGACGTCGGGGAAGGGAGCAGACCAAAGAGAAAGGGAGAGATGGCTTGACTCTTTGCCGCAGACGTTCGAACGTTTGGAGAGGTGAGTCACAAACCGGGGAAGGCGGCGGGCGTACAGCGAGGGCGAGGGATGAATGTTCTGCCGCGAGTGACACTAGCGCACACACGTTTCTTCTCTATGTGGCACAAAAAAAAAGCAATATTTGAAATTATCTTTTTAAGTTCCACACCCCCTTGGATGACTTGGTAAAGAGATGGAGAGAAGACCCGGAGATTGCGTACCCCAGACAAGGCTGGCAGCAGCAAACAGTCCAGCACTCTTTCTTGTATCCACGTCTCGAAACTGTCCGATAAGACTGGTATGTTCTAGTAGGTGGCTGAAAGTATGGGGCTGGAGCGGTAGAGAATCGATGGAGTAGGTGCTGAGGTATCGAGATAACATTTGTACAACATGGCCATCGTATCTACGTTTCCCAGCAACAACCATGGGGTTTCCTGGCCTCTTTCCACCTTCCCTGGGTTTTCTCGATGGTTTTCAGACAAGTTGCTGGCATTAAAGGCCTGAGGTGTAAAAGCCTGGCGGTCTCGACATCCGGTCTCGACATCCGGTCTCGACACCCAGCATCAGGTGCCCGAAATTGGGTGACTTGCTTCCCTCATGGTGAAATAGGAGCCGTGAGAGCTAAACAAAAAAAATGATGGACAGATCAAGGGAAGTTTAGGCCATAGGAATTGCCAAGATATGAGGGTATAGAGTAGGAAAAGGTGTAGATGGAGAGTACCAGGTGTGGAGGTGTGGAGTGTATCAAGTTCCGCACTAGAAAAAAACAGTAGTAACAGTCTGGACCTTTCAGTGCTAGAGTCGCTCCGAGGGTATAATGAGAATCCAAAATAAGGGTAAACCAAAATGAGACAACTATGCGAGACAGCAACCATCGTCGCCGGTTGCTGGGATGACGCGGGCGATTGCGCCTTTCCGATATCAATGCGGTCGACGTCTCCGCCCGTCCGCAAGCCCGACAACATCATCAACGTTTTCGTTTATTTGATGTGCTTGAACATGTCGTCCGCGCCGAGCGATCCGTCGTTGAGATCCGTACCCAATTTCTTGAGGTCCGGCAGCTTGGGCGGGGGTGGGCCCTTTCGTTCCGGCTTCTGCTCCTCATGAATAGCGCTTCCGTTCGAGATCTCGCCGACCTCGGCAAGGCTTCCAAACATTGTACTCGCGCGCTTGTTGAACCAGCTTCCACTCTTCCTGCGCTCGCGCAAGCCTGGCCGGGTTGTGGAACCGTTTGAAGGGGCCGAGCCCTGCGGGCTGGTCGGGCGATTGTGTCGCAGGCTGTCCGACGACGACGCAGAGCGGAAGCCGAAGAAACGGCGAACAGACGAAGGCCGCTTGCTGCTGCTGATGCTCTCCGTGGTCGGCGTCGGGCTCAGCACATTTTTCGACCCGGGCGAGCCGGGCTTGGTGTTTGCGGTGGCAACGCTCTCGGTGCGACCGCGCGTCTCGCCATTGGCGGGTCCGTTGCTCTGAGTGGAGCTCTGGCTGGAGCTCTGGCTGGGTTTTGTTTGAGCCATGGGGTCGTCAGACGAGGTGTCATGGGGAGAAGTAGGATGGGATGAGAGCGGACCACGTCCGGGTGTAGGCGGGCGGCCTGGCGTGGCAGGCGGCGATTCGGGCGGCGGCGCGGGGATGTCGGTCCCGGCTGTGAGAGAGAAGTCGATGGGCTTGATCTCGAGCGGGACGAACGAGGGCTTATTAGTACTGGACGGCGCCATGGTCGGCTTGGATGGGTGGCGTGGTGCGCCGGGTTGGGCAGCTGGAGGCTAGCGGGGGTGACGGCAGCAGCGGTGTTGAAGCGCGGCGCAAGGGAGCGGCCGAGGGGCTGGGAGCGCGGGAGACCCTGATCTGCTGGGGGTGAAGCTGGAGTGATTTGCGCGTTGCGGGGAGGGTCCGGACAGGGGAAGCTAGTCGCGGGCGCTTGAGAGCGAGGGTGTAGCTGCAGGAGCTGGGAGCGAGCGGAGGGGAGGGTGGCGGGAAGTCGGCGCCAATGACGGAGGAGGGGGAGGTGGAGGAACACGCGAGCCGGCGCCTGGTCTGGGAGAAGTGTGGGACGGTGATGGCGTCGGGACGGGCGTGTTGAAGGGAGAGCGAGCCATGGGCAGCGCAACCAAGGAGGCGGCCATCTGCGCGCGCACTGCGAAAGCACCTGCAAGGCCAAGCGGCGCACCGGCTGGACCCTGCACCGCGCCCGCGCCATCCAACGGCGATCGGCTGCGCAAAATCCATCGGACTTTTTCTGCGCCAGGCTGTTCCTGGCCGTCCCACGTCCTCTCTGACATCCCGACCGCATGGCCGACGAGCCCGCGCCCAAGAGACTGCGCATGGACGAGGACCGCGCCCATCACGAGCGCTTCATGCGCGAGGCCCTGCACATGGCCGAGCTTGCCCTCGCCACCGACGAGACCCCCGTCGGCTGCGTATTCGTGCGCGACGGCCGCGTTATCGGCCGCGGCATGAACGACACGAACCGCTCGCTGAACGGCACGCGCCACGCTGAGTTCGTCGCCATCTCGCAGATCCTCGCCGAGCATCCTGCCAGCGTGCTGCGCGACACCGACCTGTACGTCACCGTCGAGCCGTGCGTCATGTGCGCCTCTGCCCTCCGCCAGTTCGGCATTCGCGCTGTGTATTTTGGCTGCTGGAACGACCGCTTCGGCGGCACTGGAGGCGTCCTGAACATCCATAGCGAGTGCGTGCACGCCGCCCCACAGCATGCCCACTGAACCATGCTGAACAGCCCGAGTCCGAGTGTCGACAAGCCGTACCCTGTCTACGGCGGCATTTTTAGGGAAGACGCCATCATGTTGCTCCGCAAGTTCTACGTCCAGGAGAACGTCAAAGGTACGCTGCTGCCGTGACATGTCCGCCGTCGACGACGCTAATGCAAGGGGCAGCGCCTGAGCCTAAACAGAAGGGCACGCGCGAATTGAAGACGGAAATCGTGCCGCTGTCCGCCGACAAGGTGTGAGCAGTGCCGGCCATCGTGGAAGGAGCCTAGATACCCCCGAAATAATCATAGTACAGTGCAATGTTCAGATCCAACTCCGGATGAAGATGCATGTTGTGTAGTCCAGTCCCAACGCCATGTTATGCAGGGCCGAGTGTACGGATGCAGAGCGCCCCTAGAGCTTCCCGTCGTGTTCGCCCGGCAGCCTCTTGACGCGCTTCTGCTCCCAATCGTCGAGGTCCTTCGCAGCAAGCCTCTATTGCACCCAATTGTCAGCATGCGCATCGTCCCGCAAAGGAGACTGCACTTACGTAGTATTCTTCCTTCATGTCAACCTTTCTCTTGTTCTTGCCAATGCCCAACTCCTCCTCTCTTGTCATCTGGCGGACCTTGCGGTCGTGTCTCTCATAACGCAGAGCCGTTGCCGGGGTCAAGAAAAAGCTACCGGCGACCATTGTTGCGATGAAAGGTAGTCCGAAGAGGAGGAAGGGGTGCTTCTGCATCTGGACGCGATATCTGGCAGCGAGGGTGTTTTGGGCAGCGGAGCCGCGGAACTTCTTGGCCTGGAATGCCATGACAGCGAGCGCTTGCGCAACGTGTTACGTGAGGTTGAACGAAACACGGGCGTGCACGCGGGAATGATGAGCGTGAAGTGTGCGTGGGGCGCAGGAGCGAGATGGGGAAGAGGCCGCGGCGCTCACTGATGATGGACTGATGGATCGATAAGATAGATACCTACAGGCTTATCGCCATGTGACCGCGCGACGCCTTTTCACACGCGTCAACGACCCGTCGCCTCTTCCACCACCACACCCAAGCCGTACCCCAGTGTCGCGACATGGCACGTTGACCAGTCCAGCCTATCCGGCAACAGCATGGCTCGCAAAGCTGGCGACCCTGCCCCTCGCGTCTCCGCAGCCGGTATGGCGGGCCGGGGCAACGGGGTTCCTCCGCCGTCTACCATCGCCGCTCAGATCGTCGACAATCATTCTCGTACACATGGGGCCCAAGAGCCTCAAAACAACGCGCTCTTTGGCCAGCTTCTGCAGGAGTTTTTGACAGATCCGTCTGCGGAAGAGTCTGATGTGCGACTCAATTTGCAGCTGGTTTCTGTCGTTGTCGAGGCCGGCTTCAATGCTCTGCTCAAAGAGGATCCTTTCGGCCGCGACCTGCTGCTTTCGCAAGCCAGAGATGGTATATCCGTGATTAGGATAACCGTAGAGCGGAATCCACTCCTGCTGTTCTATCATGATCCGGAGGCTGTTTCTCACCCGCCTCTTATTGCAAAACTTCTGCCCACCCTATTTTCTCTTCTGTCCCGGCCATCCCTTCAAACGCTCCACGCAGACTTGCGGGAGCTTCTTCACTCATTCATCCAAGTACTATCTATGAGCCGCACAACATGGCACGAGGCGAATCTCTTGGTCGGGACGTATCAAGCATCCATCAGTGGTTCGAGTCCCCGGGATTGGCATTCCAACCTCATTGCTGACAATTTCTGCAGCCATTCTCACGGCGCTGGAGAGCCAAAGCTCGACCCTCCTTGCAGGTCCCTTTTACAAGGTCACCCTTCCTCCACCTAACATGGTCTCATGTCTGCTTCCCGATGGACAACAAATCGTGGCCATCCCTCAAAACTGTCAAATGGAGACAAATAGTCTCCCACAAGCTGCCAACATTGCTCTGGCGCTCGTCGAAACTATCTGCAGGTGCCTTGACCAACCCTGGGTCACATGTATTGCAGTCACTGTTCAGGCTACGATGCCTGAATGGATTGCTGACGGCCTTGATCGTCTGTGGGCTTGTTGTAGAAGGCCGAACCTCTTGCAAAAGCCCCAGAAAGATGATCTTGATCTGCTTTTGCACTCGTTCCTCTCGGTCTTGAGATCATTTGCACCACAGGCTGCTCCGGAGCAAACGGCAGTCATCCACACCCCAAAGACTTCAACTGCGTTCTATGAGATACTCTCCGAGATTACTGAACAGATATGCGATTTGCCGGCTCGCTCGACTGTTCAGCTAGAACTTTCTGATGTCCTCCTCACCACCATTTGGCTCAACCGGCCTACGAAATCGGATCAATGTCCGTTGTTCGAGACCACTCCACCAACCGGCAGCATTTTCAACGAGGTGTTTCTCTCGACTATAGACTCGATTGCCCAGGATGACACGCGGACTGCCCTTCTTGAGCACGATCTACGGGTGAGCGGCCTGTATAATGCGACAGCCATGGACAAGCACTGACTTCATCCCCTAGAGCGCCATCGCCCTCTGTGTTAAACGCATGGACAGACTGAGCGAGAAACGGATAGAATCTCAAATGTCCTTCGAAGCACAGTGGACGAAAGGAGCTACCGATATTGAAGATACCTTTTTGCTGGATAAGTTTTCCGAACTACTCCTTGAAACCCAACCAGAAGAGTTTCCGGACAACGAAAGGCCACGGAAACGACAACGCGTCGATGTGCCAACTCAAAAGCCGCGGTCAAAATCGTACTGGGACCATCTGGTCATCAAAGCGAGCATGTATCTGAGTGACGGCGATCAATCGGGTCTGAAGGGCATGAGGACTGCAGTAGAGTATGACCTTATTCATTTGATGACTGTCTTCCGTAGGGCTGATTATCTTGTAGGGAAAAGTTTCCAAAATTGTCGGAAAGCGACAAGTGCAGAGCCCTGACTGCGTTCATGAGGCTACCTTGTGCAGCTATGGACACGCTGAAAGCAAACATTCTCAGTAACGGTGACATCGCCGACTCGAGCTGCGCCATATGCGACAACGGAGATAACAGGACATCTCATGGCCACCGGACCTGGAACACCGATGGCACCGGAGAGGCATGGAAGGATGCCATTACGGTCATGGAGAAAATTGTCAGTTGCCCAGATCTTCAGCGATGCAAGGCGCCTCGAGTATTGGCTGCTACAGCAATTAAAAATTTGTTGAGCCACATCAATGACCGAGAAGCCCTTAGCCTGACGAAATCCTCGCTTGGGCAATGGTGTATGAAGTCCTTGAAAAGTTCACTGCGGGAACTACGTCTTGCTGCGGGGTAAGCATCCTCCTTTCTTTTCTTGAGTAGAAAGATTTCATTAACCAGGTCCAAAGACATGCTCTCCCGGTCTTTTTGCATGACGGAGTACCGGAAGACATTCGGCAGAAGAACCGCATCGCTGCTCTTAATTTCTTGGTTCAAATCGCAGATCGGGACGAGCTTAACGAGCAGGAGACGCTCATTGTCGCGTGGGGACAAGTGGCTAGGTATTGTTTCTAATCGCAATCACTGTTTGTGCTACTGACGAGAGCAGAGTTTGTGGCGATGACGAACTCAACATTGCGCTTCTGCAACTAGTCAATTACCTGGGACACACCAATCCTGTTATATGCAGCGTGGCATATTATGAGGTAAGCTGGCATCTCGAACATACGAAGGACAGCGCTAATGTCCAACAGCTCCAAGCCCTAGCTCAAGCGTTCAACTGCAAGCCGGGGGATATGCTAAGACCTTTTTGGAGAAACGTCGGCTTTGAAGTGTTCAAGGACCTCTGTGTCCGACCGCAAAAGGCCCAGTCACTTTCGGACCTCCTCGAGACCAGCGTAAATCAACTTCTTCTATTGACTCAACGAGAAGTCATCCCATACCTTGTCCTCATGAAGAAGAAGGACGTCCTGAAGCGAGTTGCAGCGGCGCGACAGACGACTGTCCAAGACGTCTGCCTGCAGCCGAAGGAGAATCTCGCTGCGATCTTGGCCACTCTGCTGATACATCCCGCTGACGATATCGAAACATCCACCTCTGCGCTCCTGTGCGAATCCGTACCAGATTTTGAGAAGGAGGACTTGAGCAGCTTGATCAAGCTCTCACCCACCTACATCGCCTGCGACATTCTCAAAGCCTCGGCTGGAGAAGAAGGCGCAAGGAAGAAAGAGGTCAGTAGAACCAGGCGGATCAACACGATAGACAGCTGACTGGTCCAGATCCATCGAGCGTTCTGTACTTTTGCTGCTCTTTCACTTTGTGAACGGCGCAGTGGAACCTCTAGCCGCCAGAGCACCAAGGAACAAAACGTTCTGGCGCAATTCTTCCAGGCCAATATCCTCGGAATCATGGCCCATTTGTCGAGTACCATGGACAGCTCGAGAGCATCGTCATCGCTTTGGGAGAGAAATAGGAGCCTTGGCGCCATCGAGGATCTCATCGTTTTAGCGGGCGCCCACGTCAGCCCCGCGCTGCCTCAAGTTCGCGCATGCCTCCAATCGGCCTTAGACGTGCCTCAGTTGTGCAACAAGGCATTCTACGTGTGGTCTTCTCTCATCAATGCTGTGGAGAAGGGCGAGATTAAATTGCTGATCGACCAAACCTTTTCTGTAGTGGTCCGCTACTGGGACTCGTTCACACAGGACGTCCAAAAGGAGGCCTACAGCGTCATCTCAGCCATCGTACATGACCACAACGAACTTCTTCGGGAGAGAATCGACATGCTCCCAACGTTGCAGTCCATTCCGCTGTTCAACAAGATCGAGTCCCAGATCAATCAGTTCCGCCAAAAATCCTCGGTGAACCAGTTTGAAGCCTTTACGCGCCGCTGCCAGGATGAGAACGCATCAGTCGTCGCTCAAGCTTTGAAAGAATTGAGATTGTACTTGGAGACTGACCAGGAATTCATCCACGAAACCACCGTTGCTCAGCACCCGAGTAATGTGGTGGCACAGCTTTGCCGCTCCATACTAGATGCTTCCGTCAGGTTCACCGAGAGTCGTTCCGAGATTGCCATCCTAGCTGCGCAATGTCTTGGCCTCGTGGGCTGCTTAGATCCGTCTCGAATCGAGACAGTGCGGCCAAGGCGGGAGATTCTCGTACTCTCGAACTTGGACCGGTTCGATGAAGCCGTCGAATTCATTGCATTCATGCTGGAGTCGGTACTGGTGAAAGCCTTCCAGTCAGCCACCAACGCAATATCGCAAGCATTCATCGCCTATGCTATGCAGGAAATGCTCAAGTTCTGTGGTTTCAGCAGCGAAGCTACTGCATATCGACTGCGTTCGTCGCAAGGAAGTCCATCCTACCAACGCTGGAGTGAGATTCCTGAAACAATCCGAAGCACGCTCACGCCTTTCTTGAGCTCGAAATATGAGGTCAACCGGAGAGATAATCAGGAGCCAACCCAAGAATACCCGATCTACAAACCAAAACTCACCCACGCCATGTGGCTGCGAGATTTTGTTCACGATCTGCTCCTACGGCCCAAGGGGAAAAACACGCGCGAAATTTTCCCAATTCTGTCCAAGATCATCAGAGGGCATGACTTGGCTATCCCGACATTCCTACTTCCGTTTACTGCTGTCAATGTCATCCTCGAAGGAACTGAGAAGGAGGTCGAGAACATCGTCCAAGAACTGGTCTTGGTCCTGGAGACAAGCGTAGATGGGCCAGGGCCTGAGGCTGACTCATTGAAACAGTGCAGCGAGGTAAGTTCTTGATATTCCGGCGTGCCTTTGTCCAAGGGTGCGTACTGATTCTCTCCAGAACGTCTTCCAAGTGCTTGACTATATGTCGAAATGGCTGCAAGAAAAGCGTAAGCAGCTGAACGAAAGCCGTCTGCTTGCGTCCAGATCCGGAAAGATGCCGTCAGAGCTTGACGAGCTTAAATCCGTCTCGCAGATCAGCAGCATTGAGCGCGTTCTGCATGCCATACCGGCTGAGGTCATATCTCGCCGCGCCGTGGAATGTGGCTCCTACGCTCGTGCTCTTTTCCACTGGGAGCAGTACGTGCGTCAGAAGAAGGAGCAAGCGGAGACTTCCAATAAAGCCATTGATCAGGAGAACCTCTATCAACACCTTCAGTATATCTACACTCAAATTGATGAACCAGACGGCATTGAGGGAATTTCTGCTCATCTGCAGATCCTCGACCCGTCCCAGCAAGTCCTGGAGCATCGAAAAGCTGGCAGGTGGACGGCTGCACAGAGCTGGTATGAATTATCCTTGGCCGAGAAGCCGGATGATCCAGAAATCCAGTATCAGCTCCTCAGTTGTCTGCGAGAGTCTAACCAGTACGACTCCCTACTGGTTCAGGTCCAGAGTTTCCAGAAGTCAGCAGGACCATGTGCGCCCAAGATTCTTTCGCTTGCAGCGGAAGCTTCGTGGGTCACTGGGAAGTGGAAGGTGCTTGGGGACCTCTTGTCTACGGCTCCGGCTGGTCTGCAGGAGTTCAACGTCGCTGTTGGCGATGTCTTGCTGTCGCTACGACAGAAGGATGTGAATGGTTTCATCGCGAAGATCAACGACCTACGAGAGTCAATCGCTCGAGGACTATCGCCTTCAACCACGGCCTCGCTGCAGGCGTGCCACGACCCGATGCTGAAGTTACACGTTCTCTATGAGATTGAAGCAATCAGTGGAGCAGCTGACGCTTCCTCAATGAGTCGCACAGACCTTCTCAAGAACATGGACCGGCGCCTTGATTTCTTAGGAGCATACACGGCAGAAAAGCAGTACATCCTAGGGTTAAGGCGGGCTACCATGCAGCTATCCGCACGAGACTTCACTGGTCTTGACATTGCCTCTTCCTGGCTCACAACATCAAAGTTGGCCAGAAAGGCAAATCAAAACAACACCGCTTTCGACGCAGTCCTTCACGCAACCCGCCTCGGGGAGAGTGAAGCAAAGATCGAGCACTCGCGGCTTCTCTGGAAGGACGGGCATCACCGAAAAGCAATCCAGAATCTCGAGGGTGCGATCGCCGCAAACATCTTCTCGCGCGAGCAAACCCCGAGCAATGCTGGAGACAGCATGTCGACCAACATGACCGATGAGCAACGCCAAGTCGCCGACAGGCTTGCAGCACGAGCATATCTCTTGAAAGCCAAGTGGCTGGACCAGTCCGGACAGTCGGCTTCCAACACCATCGTGCAGTGCTATTACACCGCAATCAAGCTCCACAACAAATGGGAAAAGGGGCATTATTACCTGGGGAAACACTACAACAAGCTACTGGAGTCGGACAAAACGCAACCCAAAGTCAGCTTTTCGACCAAGTGCGGCGAGACGGCCCGGCTTATCATTGAAAACTACCTTCGAGCCGTCTTGTTCGGCGTCAAGCACCTTTACGAAACCATTCCCAAAGTGCTTACTCTGTGGCTCGATCTTGGAATGACGGCATCTGGGGACAATGTGCCGAAAGACTATGAGAGAAACCGGCAGCAATATGAACTTCAGTAAGTGGACCTGTCCAGTGTAATCAACGTGCCCTGAAACTAATTCCTGCCAGGGAACACGTCGCTGCCGTCCGTGCCCTTCGCCTGGACATGATCCATTTACAGTTCAAGAAGTACGTTCTGGACAGGCTGCCAGCTTACCTGCTCTATACGGCGCTGGCACAGATGATCACGCGCATCAGCCATCCGCACAATCAGACGTACGACATGCTTTCGAAGATCATTATCAAGGTCGCAGAAGCCCATCCCCAGCAATCGCTTTGGAGTCTTCTTGCGGTGATCAAATCCAAGAACCACGATCGCAGCAGTCGGGGCGCACATTTATTGGCAAAGTTGAAGGTAAGCAGCCCACGGGACACGTTTAAATTGGTGACGCTCACACTTGCGTAGGAAGTCAGCAAGAAGACCAAGACAAGTTCATCGGGTCCAGATGTGCGGACGCTGATCGTGCAGGGAGACAAGCTCTCAACGGCTCTGCTGCATGCGTGCGATGCTGCATTACCGGACAGGCAAACACGCTTCAGTCTCTCCAAGCACATGGGCTTCTCGCATAAGCTGGCCCCTTGCGGTCTGGTCGTGCCGATCGAGACGACCCTGATCGCGAGTCTGCCCCGTAACGGAGAGGTGTCGCCGAGAGCATACAAGGCTGCGTTTTCTGGGAACGTCATCACCATCTCGTCCTTCAGCGATGACGTTCTTGTACTCAGTTCCCTCCAGCGGCCGCGAAAGCTGATCGTGCGCGGTTCGGACGGTCTGCCTTACGGCCTTCTCTGCAAGCCCAAGGACGACCTTCGGAAGGATCAACGGTTGATGGAGTTCAACGCAATGGTCAACAGGGCACTTTTGGGTGACGTCGAATCCAGCAAGAGGAGGCTCGACATCAAGACGTACGCAGTCACGCCGCTGAACGAAGAATGCGGGGCCATCGAATGGGTGGAAGGGCTGAAGCCCATGCGAGACATCATACTCAAGCTCTACCGCGAGAAGGGCATCAAGATCGACTACACGGACATCCGCGACAAGCTCAAGGACGCCTGCGCCAGCCGCGCCAACGTGCACATCTTCACGGACAAGGTGCTCGGCCACCTCCGGCCCGTCCTGCACGAGTGGTTCATCGAGTCCTTCCCGGAGCCCGAGGCGTGGCTCGCGGCGCGGCTCAAGTACACGCGCTCGTGCGCCGTCATGTCCATCGTCGGCCACGTGCTGGGGCTCGGCGACCGCCACGGCGAGAACCTGCTGCTGATCGAGGAGGACGGCCGCGTCTTCCACGTCGACTTCAACTGCCTCTTCGACAAGGGCCTCACGTTCGAGAAGCCCGAGCTCGTGCCGTTCCGGCTGACGCACAACATGGTCGACGCCATGGGCGCCTACGGCGTCGAGGGCCCGTACCGGCTCGCCGCCGAGCTCACGCTCCGCCAGCTGCGCCAGCACATGGACACGCTCATGACCATCCTCGAGACGTTCCTGTACGACCCCACGGCCGACTTCATCGGCCGGAAGAAGAGGCACACCAAGGGGGTGCCGAGCACGCCCGAGGAGGTGCTGGAGAGCGTCAAGAAGAAGGTGCAGGGCTTCTTGCCCGACGAGACGGTGCCGTTGAGCGTCGAGGGGTACGTGAATGCGCTGATCGAGAGGGCGCGGGATCCGCATAATCTGGCGGCCATGTATATCGGTTGGTGTGCTTTCTTTTAGTTGCGCAGGGACAGGTAAGGGGGGGCGGGGGCCACTAATGGTAGTAAAAGTAGACACAACTGCTGTGGACGAGACTATGACGCCAGTGAGTATTTTCGATCTCCACTCGAGTCAAGCGGCAGCCTTTCCCTACTAGAACACACAAAGGTAATCGAAGTCATCTGATCAACTCAAAACCAGCTATTTTGACGCGTCGCGAACTAAAGTATGTACATGAATATATGACTGCTTGGCCCTCACAGCAAACCGGTGTCACTCGAGGTCAAGCCTGGAACATGGCGCTCCAAATCCAGCCCGCCTTGCTCATGGTCAGCCTTTGAGCGTCGTCGTCGTCAAAACTCCACAAGCATCGGCAAAACGCCAGACACCATCTCTTCTCGATTTTTTCATGGCAGACCAGCGCCCCTCTTCACAACCGTCACCTCTCCCAGGCCATCCACGCCCTTCTCGGCACCGCTCGACACACCGCCCTGGGCGATGCCCATCTCGGCCTTGTCGTCGTTGAAGGCCAGGAAGGCGCTCGTGAAGAAGGGGGCGCCGACGGCACACATGCCCGTCGAATCCAGCGTCAAGCTCAAGGCGCACACGTTCGTCTCGTTGTAGTAGTCGTTGATGCCGCGGGCGTAGCTCCGCAGCGGGACCCGGACGGTGACCTTGGCGCCGTCGACGCCGGCGAAGGTGTAGTCGAGCGTCTTGTTCCGGGGGATGGAGTCGCAGGGACCGGGCCAGGCGGGGTAGCCGTGGCTGTCGACGGTGCCGGTGGCGGCGTGGAAGGCGTCGGCGGCGAGCGGCAGGTTCTCGGTGCCGAAGCCCGAGTCGACGAGGCAGCGCGGCGTCGCGGCCGCGTCGACGGCGAAGGCGGCGCCCCCGACGCTGAACTCGGGGAGCGGCACGTAGTAGCCGACGTAGGTGCCCGCGGGCGGGTCGAGCGGCACCTTGACGAGCGGGCCCGAGTACTTGGAGCTGTCCGGGAGGGCGCCGAAGAGGGCGGTGCCGTGGAACTCGCCCGTGGCGTTGGCCGGGGGGGTGTCGAACCACATGGAGAGGGTGGGCGACTCGATGCGGCCGGTGGCGAGGAGGTCGCCGCGGAACGAGGGCCCCGAGGTGGTGTTGGTGTTGGGCGACATGCCGAGGATGCTGCGCTCGTAGGCCATGCCGTTGCAGGTCGTGGCCGAGGAGCGGATCAGCGTGTAGTTGGCCAGCTGCACCTTCTGGTTGAGGAGCGGCGGGTAGGCGGGGTTGGTGAAGGCGATGGTGTCGTTGACGCTGCGGGGCGCCTGGACGATCTTGCCGTTGCCGCCGTAGGCGTAGGCGCGGGGCGACGACGTCTGGACGTCGGTCGAGGTCGACGACTCGGGGAAGTTGAAGAAGGGCGTCACATCCTCGGTGCAAGGGCCGGTGTTGAAGAGATAGGGGCTGCCCGAGTTGATCTTGCCGTCGGGGCCGTAGACCTGCGCTTTCCGTCAGTGGTGGTTCGTCGGGGATGCGAAGACTGCACTTACCCAGAAATCGGCGGATCCGGTGTCAACGACGGTCTCGATGGGCGTCTGGCCGGGAGTGCCGTAGACCATGTCGGTGGAGATCTTGGGGTAGCCGCCGTACTTGTAGGACAGCGGCATGATGGCAGGGGCCTGCGCCTGCCTGGCAGCAGGAGCGGCAGGAGCGGCAGCCGCAAGAGCGGGCAGGAACAACAGCGGAAACATGGTAGCGAGAGTACTTGAAAGAGAGACTGCGGACTTGTGTACACGAGAAGCCGCGCGCAGGGCTTATAAGGAGCGAAGAGAGAGGGCGTCGGCTAAAGCACACAAGCATGGTGATACCGAATTAACCTTGTTTCTGGGGCAGGGGTTCGGCGTGATTTGACTTCCTATTCCGGACTAGCGGCCGATAGGTGGCGGCTTGGGGTGGGATATATTTAGTCGTTCCCGCGCCGCAGAACAGCTGGTGCTTGGGTGGGTATGAGGTAGAGCTACGCTCGTGTTCGCGGGGCCCGGCGGACTCTTGGAAGAACGGCACGCACAGAGGGGGTTGCTTGCTACTGCTGCGTGCAGGAAGGACGGACGGCAGCTGGAGCACCCGCTCAGACATGGACAGATCTAAGTACAGCGATTCCGCAAACAAAAAAGGCGTGCGGACAAGAGCTCCAGCTACGTACGTCGACCGTGTTGCAATGCTGAGGCAAATCCGACGTCGCAACGGGCTCGGACCGAAATGCAGGGCTAGCCAACCTATCTAGCTCAAACGTCGGCTTCTCTTTTGCTTCTAGACGACTCCGGTGCTCGTAACGCTTCAACTCACCTCACGCCGCTGTACGAGGTCGGCTCGGCCAGCACTGCAGCTCTCCCAATGGCCGAGTGCGGTGTGATGCCAGGCGAGCCGGCTCGTATCCACCCCACAACGATCCCGGCATCGACAATGAAGATCAACCCAATGTCACCCATATCGAGCCCACGCTTATCCAGCCTTGCCTGAAGATACACCGTCGTCCGATCAGCTCGTGCGCACATGCTGCTAGCGACCTGCCGTCGCTCGACATGCAAGGGGCACCGCCTGCCCAAATGAATACGAACCACCCATGACGTTCCGTCCGGCTCAAGCAGTCCACGCCCGGCCGCCGTCGACTGCATCCGCCACCATGGCGCTATATGAGGCCTCTGTCCGGCGCCGGAACCGCTTTCTCGTAGCACCTTCGGCCCATTGCTCTCGTTTGCTTACCCAAGAATGCGTCTCCAATCAGTGCTGGGAGCAGCCGTCTGGGCGCTCTCGCAGACCGTGTCCTGCCGAGCGGTGAGCAGCTCGTCTGCGGCAGATCTCGTCGAGCACGAGACAACCCCAGCGCTGCCCGCCGGATGGGCCTACCACGCGCCCGCCCGCGACGACGACACTCTGCAGCTGCGCATCGCCCTGGCCCACCCGCACGACGCCGATCACCTGCGCCTGGCCTCCGCCGTCAGCGACCCGGCCTCGGCCTCGTACGGCCAATACCTGTCGGCCGCTGAGCTGCAGGCCGTGCTGCCCGACGTCTCCGCCGCCGCCGCCACCGTCATCGAGTGGCTGAAGCGTGCCGACGGCGTGCAGAGCGTGTCGCAGCAGGGCGAATGGATCCGCTTCACGACGACCGTCGGCGCAGCCCGCTCGCTGCTCGCCGCCTCGTTTGCGCAGTACAGCTTCAACGGCGAGGCGGCGGTGCTGCGGACCCAGTCGTACAGCGTGCCCGCGCCGCTGCAGGACGCCATTGACTTCGTCTTCCCGGCCACGCAGTTCCTCGCCGACGGGGGCAGCCGCCGCTACCAGCAGTACTCGTCCAACTCCCTCGAGCGACGCCAGCACAGCCTGCCCGGCCCGCCCGACTGCAGCGTCGACGTGTGCCCCAGCAAGCTGGTGACCAAGTACAACATCGACTACTTCCCGCCCGACGCCTCGTCTGGCAGCACCATCGCCATCGCCGGCTTCCTCGAGCAGCACCCCAACCGCACCGACCTGCAGTCCTTCCTGCACACCTACGGGCTCAACAACTACACGGCCACCTACGACACCGCCCTCGTCAACGGCGGCATCGCCCCCGACGTGCCCGCCGACACGGGCGCCGAGGCCATGCTCGACCTCGAGTACGCCCTCGCCTTCACCGGCCCGCTGCCCGCCACCTACATCTCGACCGGCGGCCGCCCGCCGCAGCTGCTGCAGCCGGGCAACGTGACGGTGCCCGCGTCCAAGTCCAACAACGAGCCGTACCTCGAGTTCCTCAACTACCTCCTCGCCCTCGACGCCCCGCCCCACGTCATCTCCATCTCCTACTCGGACGACGAGCAGACGGTGCCGCCCGCCTACGCCGCCCGCACCTGCGACCTCTTCGCCCGCCTCGCCCTGCGCGGCGTGTCCGTCATCGACGCCTCGGGCGACGGCGGCGCCCTCGGCACCGGCTCCGCCGAGTGCGTCAACAGCCGCGGCGAGACCAAGTTCGTGCCCGCCTTCCCCGCCACCTGCCCGTGGGTCACGTCGGTGGGCGCGTCGTCGGCCTGGGGCGGGCCCGCCACTTGGAGCGCCGGCGGCTTCTCCGACTACTTTGCCCGCCCCGACTGGCAGGACACCGCCGTGGCCGGCTACGTCGAGCGCCTCAACGGCAGCCACGCCCCCTACTACAACGCCGCCGGCCGCGCCTTCCCCGACGTCAGCCTCATCGGCGTCGACTACGTCACCACCGTCGGCGGCTTCACGTCGACCCAGAAGGGCACGAGCGCGAGCACCCCCGTCTTCGCCGCCATGGTCGCCCTGCTCAACGACCTGCGCCTGCGCGCGGGGAAGCCCGTCTTGGGCTTCCTCAACCCGCTGCTGTACTCGGATGCGCTCAAGGACGTGTACAGGGATGTGGCCGACGGCCAGGGCGCCGGCTGCGCCAATGCGACGTGGTTCGAGCCTGGGTGGGAGGCCCTGCCCGGTTGGGATGCTACCACCGGCTTGGGTGAGCCCGATTTTGCGAAGATGAGGGCTGCTGTTGTTTGATTGCCGTGCGTAATGTGGTCATGTCGGCGGCCGGGTTGAGTGTTTTTTTGTCAAGCTCGAATTGGAGAGAAATGAGGCGTAGTCGATGACGAAATGAAGGGAATGCACCATGTGTCTCAGCAAGTCACTTGTCGCTATCTGGACTAACTCGGGGGGTTGCATTATCTGGCTTTCTTGCTTGGTTGATTGGATGTCGGTTCCGTACAAGGAACAACATGACTGAAAGTAGATCCCATTCACACACTAGAATGAATATGTAATTAAAGTATCCATCGGGACTTGCGTGCATGGCATGAATAGTATCATCAAGTCTCATATCTTTTCTTACTGTACCTGCTACTCTAATTCTGCAACATTCAACATACACGACGACGCATTAATAACAAAGGTTCAGTGCTCTGCCTGCACAGCACCACACCTCATCGCTCAAATCATACAGCCGTAAATGGTATCTTTTCATCCAGTCTCCCTTAGCCTCTGTAGGCCATACGTCCTTCGCTCTCCGCTCTCCAAAGCGAGCAGAGCAGCCTGGGTATCCGCGTCGCCGTACCAACCCCACCTCGACCCAACCATGGCTTCCGTATTTTGAAGGGAAGAGATGGGCGGGAGGGCCAGCCTCCATTAAATTTCCTTTTCTCGTCCCACCATGCCACAACCCACCTCATCCACCTCGTCCACCTCATCCACCTCGTCCACCTCATCCACCTCGTCCACCTCATCCACCTCGTCCACCTCATCCACCTCATCTTCTCCCCTCCCCCTCCCCCTCCCCCTCCCCCTCGCCCTCCCCGCTCGCCCTCCTCAACCGCCGCTGACTCTCCCGATCCGCGTCGAACCCCGAATCCAAACTGATCCTCCGCCCCGAATCCACACTCGTCCTCGCCGACGCGCGCACGACGGCAATCTCATCGCCATTAGCGTTTCCTCGCGGCTGCTGCTGCTTCTGCTGCTGCTGCTGCTGTTGCTGCGACGGCGGCGGCGGCGGCGGCGGCGGAGCGGGAGGGAGAGCGGGAGCGGGAGCGGGAGCGGGAGCGGGAGGGTCAGGATAACACTCGCTCCTGCGCACGTCGACCGCCACCATTTTCGTGATGCCGCCCATGGCGCCGCTGCTGCCACCGCCACCCTCCTCGAGGTCTTCCAAATGCCGCCGCGAACTGTTGTTGTTGTTGTTGTTGTTGTTGTTGTTGTTGTTATAATTATTACTATTACTACCGGCGCCGCCGCCGCCATGGCTCGTGACCTCGCTCGAAAACGACGGCTTGCCGCCGACGTCCAAACACTTGCCCATGCGGTGGCGCCAGCTGCTCTTATCAGCCGCGCTCGTCTTCGTCGTTTTCGTCGTCGCTTTCGTCGTCTTCGTCGCCGTCTTCGTCGTATTCATCGTCGTCATCGTACTCGTCGTACCCATCGTACCCATCGAGTCAACCGTCTTGTTGCCCGTGCTACGACTACTAGTGCTAGTGCCGGTGCCGGTGCCGATGCCGCCGCCTTTCGTCGGCGCGTGCCTGTGACGGTGATGAGCGGCGGCGGCGGAGAGGGGGAGGTCGTCGAGGCCGGCGCAGGCGCGGGCGCGGGCGGCGGACGAGGCGCGGGCGACCTTGGCGATGAGGTCGGCGAGCGACATTTCGATGGAGAGCTTGACGATGTAGGCGAGCGGGTGGAACTGCACGTAGATGAAGGGGTTTTTGAACGACATGGAGAGAATGATGGCGAGCTGGATTGATGGCACGGGTCGCGTTAGCTGTTTTGTTTGTTTGTTTGTTTGTTTTTTTGGCCGAGGTGGGAAAGGTCTTTGTGTGTGTGTGTGTGTGTGTGTGTAGAACGTACGTCGAGGAACATGGAGATGAAGTCGAGGGCGACGTTGGTCCAGAAGAGGATCTTGTATTTGTCCAGGCCGTTGGCGATCAGGTTGCGGCGCACCAGCCACATGAAGTAGAAATTGAGCCCGGCGTCGATGAGCAGGAAGAGGACTTTTTCTATGCGGTCCCAGTAGTGGTTGGTGCTGACATAGGCCTGGGAGCGCTGCAGCTGGGCGGGGATCCAGATGCAGAAGACGGAGACGTTGATTACGCCGACGTAGGCCACGACGGCCCACTTGATCATGGCGACGCGGCGCGGATCCGGAAGAAGGAGGGCGATACGGTTGACGATGATTTGAAGGAGGACCTGGATCTGGATGACCCAGAGGCAAAGGACGGCGAAGAAGAACTCGAAGCTGTCGAGACATGAGTAAGGGTCGAAGTGAGGGAACGGGAGGGAAGTGTCACCTGGGACCGATTGTTTTTCTCATGTACAGCCACGAGATTACGCCAATGATGGTGCATACGACTATCTCGATCCATATCATAAGGATGTATGCCGTCATGCGGCCGCATCGTGCCCAGGTGTTTAGGGTCTGGCTAATGGCGGTTGCGACGCAGAAGAAGGTGCACCCGAGGCTGATTCCCCAGACTATGCTGACCGTGGACATCTCGACGCGACTAACTCTATATTCCTCGAACCATGGCGGCACCAGTGCTCCGGTCATGGTGGGCCAGTAGTGGTGGAGACAGGCCGAAGTGTTGCTGCGGGGAAAAAAGTGGGAGGGCGGGAGTCAAGCAGAGACGGATGGCTTGCTCCTCAAGAGAGCGTAGAAGGACGTCAGACGGCGAGACTCTCGGTCCTGGGAGGAATCCTTTCCAGAAAGTGAGGGTGCGGGGAAATGGCAAGCGCCAGGAGCGGAAACGAAAGAATGTGGCAGGGTCCCCCGATGGTGCACATGGCTTGCTGCGTCGACAAGTCTAATATGACGGGCTCGAGTCGACGGCGAGATGGCCGGCTCCGCTGGGAATTAGAGTTCAACGCGTTCCGGGTGCCTACTTCAGCTCCGCCCGGGTCTGTTCTCGACATAGTAGGCTGGGTCGACTTCAGCTCCACCAGGGCTGTCCTTGACGTAGGCTGCGTGGGAGAGTCGGGCTCGCATTGGTCGAGAGTCGCGCCGGAGCACGGCTCCGCTGGCCCCCGCCTGCAGCTCGATTCCTCCATTTGGTGAAGGCAGAATCCGGCGACCACCACAACGGGCTCCGAGCCTGGCGCTGCTTCGCCACACCCCGGGCCACGCGGGAAGGAGGGGAGGCGCGGACATCGACGCGAATCCTGCAGGGGTCATCCTTTTTCATCCATCCGTGCGCCATTCGTTGGTCGTTGTTTATCGACACTTTCGTCAGCCCTGCTCTGCTCCAGCAGCTCAGACCTTTTTTCTTTCTTTTTTTCTTCATCAACCTTGCATGTGAACATCCAGCTGGCTACGTCAAGCTGCATTGCGTGTTGCTCCCTATTTCGGGGCTTGCCTAAGTTTCGTCTCGTATGGGCACCGTAGGCCAGGACGCGTTACTGCTCACCTGCTTGGGCCTGGCCATCCGGACCACGGCCTCATCTTCCGCTTGTTCCTGAATCCGCAAAGAGCTAGCGCCACAGAAACGGTCTGCTTCGATTGGCCATGGCTGAAACGCTCCTCTGCCCACGCGGATGTGTGGCGCAAGCCATCGAAGCCACATGCAGCGGCTCCCATGGGCCCCACGTTTTTTTCATCTGCACCCGCACTGGCACGCTTGCAGCTGTCAGACGCGCCATCCGAGGAGAAACACGTGTAAATCGCCGAAATAGCCAATCACCAATTTGCCGATCGGACCTGACGGCAGAAAATTCACCATCAGCCATGGGGGATTGAAGATACACCAAAGAGCGAGAAGAACACAGTCACCTCGATACCCCTTGAACCTGGCCGTGTTTCTCGAGATGCTCCATTTGAGCCACTTTGACGTTGCCCTATACGTCAACCTTGGATTGCTTCACTAAAGGCGATTGAAGATTTTCGTTTTCGAGGACGTCTGATACACTTCACTGATATCAGTGGTGTAGCCTGGGAGAACGCCTCGGTCCATGTGATCCGAGAGAGTTGGGGCCTGATAAATTCCTGCGCAAATCCAATCTTCGCTGCACGCGACAAATGATACCTACGAAAGTATCCCGCGGTTCTGTTGCTGACTTTGATTCCGAACTGAGTAGAAGGCTGCATCCTTGGTAAGCAGCCGCACACCAAAGAAAGGGGCAACGGGATAGATAGTAAAAGACGTTACGGCTCACGACTGCTAAAGTGATTATCCATCGAACCGAGAGCAATTGAAGAAGTTGGCGTACCTTTACTGTGCTGACTACATTAATCCTCATGTTGCCGCCATTTAGCACCGTAGCATGCGTGCTCCTCTAGACCGACAAAATCTTGCGCCTCACCACATTCTTGTTCTTCATCTACCGTAGCCACAGCATATACAGTCACTTACATCAGCCCCATCCCCAACTAATTCCCCACCTCAAACTTCCCCTGCACGAACCCCCAAAACTCCTCCACGATCCCCTTCTGCCCCTCCCCCTTCCTCACCGCCAAATACCTCCTCTGATCCACCCTGGGCTCCCACTCGCCAGGATTCCCATCCACGACCACGCCCCCCGCCTCCGTCAGGACGACCCAGCCCGCGCACACGTCCCACGGCCAGCACCCGGCCTCCCAATAGACGTCGAGCGCGCCCGTCGCGACGCCGCACAGGTTCAGCGCCGCGCTGCCGAAGCTGCGCAAGCCGTGGACCATGGCGCCGCCCTCCTCCCTGCGCGCGCACAGCCGCGCAAACGTCTCGCTCTTGACCTTGTAGTCGTTGCCCGAGCGCTCCGACCCCCACTCGACGCACACGACCGCCGTGCTGAGGTCGCGCATCGGCTCGGGCGCGCGCAGGGGCAGCCGCGTCGTGCGGTCGAGGAAGGCGCCGCCGCCGCGGATGGCCGAGTACAGCGTCGTCGTGAAGGGGTTGTAGACGACGCCGACGGTGGGCACGAGGTCGACGGCGAGCCCGAGCGAGATGGAGACGTACGGGTAGCCGTGCACGAAGTTGGTGGTGCCGTCGATGGGGTCGACGATGAACTGGAAAGGGCGGCGTTCAGTACCTTTTCGTTGGCGAGCACGAAGAAGGTGGGGGAAAAGACATGGGAGGAAGAGGACGGGGGAGGAAGACGGGGAGGGGCAGTGAGGAAATGGCCTTACGGTGGGGTTGGATGTCAGCTTGTCGCCCGGCTTGTACGTCTCCTCGCCCATGAAGGAGAACGAGGGGTATTTCTCCTTCAACGTTGTCGACACCATCTTCTCGACCGCCTGGTCGGTTTCGGTGACGAGGTCGGCGGCTGCCGGGTGGGAACATTGTCAGCGCCCCATCACAATCTCGTGCCGCAGACATGGCAGCCGTGGCCTGTACTCACAGTTCTTCTTCTCGCCAGACGTTGTGGTCGAAGGTTTGGCCGATGTGATCATCTCACCGGCCTTCTTCGCGACCTCAATGAGGAAGTCGTGAATCTCCTGGAGGTTGAGGTCTGCCATTGTGCCAATTTGTGCGTGTGAATGCTGGGTGTAAAGCTCTAGTTGTGGTCAAGGGAGCGTTTTGAGGGGTAGAAGAAGCTTCAGGAGGTGTGGACAAGCTGTTGGGGAGGGAGTTGCGGGAGGCGGATGGCGGATGGCGGATGGCGGGGTTGTCTCCAGACGCCACGCGAGATCCACATGCCCCTCCTGCTCCGAGAGCGGTCAGCCCATCAGCGTCCATTCTTCGCCCACGCTCGACCGTCATTTGCTGGCATTCGCAAACAGGCACCGCACTATCAATCAAGCTCCAAATTTAGGCAGGAAAATGGTTCAGAAAACAAACTTTTCGAGCTTCTCTAAACATATCGTCTGGAATACTGATACTGCGTTGCGTCATATCCTGAATCGCCGACAAGCTCCGCCAGTTCCCACACGAATCCCGCCTGGGCGGAGCTGCTTCCACGCTTTTGTGTTTTTTTAATTAAGCAGATCCGAACTGCTTGACCAGGCTCGCCACCTTCTGCGCCAGATCGTCCGCTTCGGTCCGAGTCTCCGCCTCCGCATAGACGCGCACCGCGTCCTCGGTGCCACTGGCACGCGCGAACGACCGGCCCTGCTTGTACTTGCCCACCAGCTTGTCGATCTCGTCCTGGATGCCTGCCGGGCTCTCCAGCTTGCGCTCGGCATCGACAGCCTGGAAGATGTTGCGGTCCTTGACCTCAACACGGACCAACCGGTTGGGCAGGTCGTTGTAAGTGTGCAGCCACTCGGCCGGGCCCCACTTCTTGTGGGCAAGGATGACCTCGACGACCAGCAGATCCGAGAGCGCATCTCCAACAGTCTGGTTGATCAGATCCGTCAGGGCCTGCAGCGTCTCCAGCGCCTCGTGCTGAGCAGGCGACTGGGGCTCATGCTTCTCAATCGTCTTGAGCGCTGCGGGCGAGAAAACAATGGTGCCGTGGCCATTGGCCTCGAAGTAGACGCCAACGTCAAAGCGCAGCGCAGCATGGTGCAAGTGCTTGACGCCGGTGGGTGTGCACACGACCGGCAGGTTAAGGCCCGAGGTAATGTACTTGGTGCTGGCACCGTTGGCATAGGCCGTCTGCACAACACCAACCTTGAGCTGCTCGCCCAGGCCAGCATGGCGAGACAGGTCACCAATGAAAGACGCCGCCAGCGTAGCGATGCGGTCGCCATCCAAGAGGTTGAACTTGCCGTCCTTGTCGTTAAAGTAGTAGACAATGCGGTCAGCGTCGCCGTCCAGAGACGCGCTGCGCTCCAGAGGTCCAGCCTTGGACTGCGGCGGAGCGCGCTGGCCCGTCTTGACGTAATCGGCACCGCACTATCCCATGTCAGTTTCGAATGCCATCGAAGCCATTGGGAGGATACACACCTGCGAATTCAAGTTCTCGGGCTTGTGCACATCATCGTTGACGACCTGGATCTTGATGCCCTTCTCTTCAGGGCCAGGCAGGTACTTAATCAGCTCCCTCAGCTTGGGGCCACCCACACCGTTCGCACAGTCGACCACGACACCCTTATCCTCGGGCGCATCCTCAGGGATCTGCCTATGCTTGAGAGCCTTCTTGAGAGCGGCACCGATCTTCTTGTAGTAGCCCTTCTCAGACGCCTCGCCATACTCATGCACAGTGCCCTTCGTGTTCACACAGCGGACCAAGTAGTGCAGCTGAGGAGTAGTGAGGAACTTGTGGTCCGTGTACTCGGCACCCGCCGCCTCAAGAGCGTCGACGAGGCAGCCCACTAGCCTCGAACCGGAGGCACGGGTGTCGCGGGCAAAGATGACCTTGGCAGGCGCGGCCTGGTTCACCTTGAGCTCGGCTGCGAGCTTGTTGTACGCCTCGACGAGCTTCTCGTCCGTCTCGGCGTTTGCGAGGACGGTAGCATGAGCTTCCCACGAAGACTGGGAGCGGCATCAGCAGAGGGTTCCTAAACTGCACGGTTGTCTGCAAGAGCGCATACCTCAAGCATCTCACCCTGTTCGGTCTTGTGGTTAGCCTGACGTGCTCACTCCCAAGCTTGACGCGATTCACGCACCATTGGGTCCACAAGCTTGACACCGTTGTCCTCGGGCGGATTGTGGCTCGCGGTGATCATGACACCAATGGTCTGGCCATTGAGCTTCCTCGAGCGGAGGGCGGCCAGCAGGCCCACACGGTATACGACCGAGTCCAGCAGATCGCTGCGGCGGCGAGCAGGCTCGTCAGCTTTCATTCCATGCTGACAGTGCGCAAGGCGCCCAGCAATGAGGGGAAAGACGGAGCTTCAGTTGACGTACGCTTTCATGCGGAACTGCGATCGTCGTTAGCAGCTGGGCTTGTTCGGACCGACGCGCGCGCGAGACTTACACCGGCGGTGCCATACTGGAACACCTTGCCCGGCTGGGGATGCTTTGCCGAAGCTTCCAAGATTTTCTGGTCCATGGTGGCGTTGGGGCGGTGAACGAGAGGAGGGGAATGGAGGAGGGGAAGAGAGCGTGGAGAGAGAGGGGAGAGAGCTAAAGAGAAGGCGGTGGTGGAGAGTAGCGGGGAAGGAGGTAGGGGGTGTCGCTGGAGGGGCTGTACGTAACGGTGTCTGGCCAACAGCTCCACCCGCGCGCGCAGCACACAGACAGCGCCCGTTCGCCGATCGGGGGGGGGGGGGGGGGGGGG